AAAAATCAAGATAGATTGAGTTATTTTCGATTAAAGCTGATCTAAATCAGATATGCGTTTCAGTTGGCATTTAAGTGAAAATCAACAAATCGGAGAAGCATTAAGGTTCTGCACAATTTATATATGTCTTCATCTGAAATATTATATACGCATGCATAAACTTATATATGAAACATATGTTCAGAGTCGATTTAACTTTCTGCTGTATTCCAAACTAGCTCAGTTCCTATTTGACTTATTTCTACAGCTTTTTTTCATTTCCCAACCGCTTTCAGAGAGAGAGAGAGATTCCTTCACACACATATATATATTTTTAATGCATTTGAAAAACTTTATAAACTGCATCTGCTGCCAGAGAAGAGCATAAAAAACTGACAAAGCGAACGCAATTCAAACCAGACAAAGGGGCAACCAAGGGAAGGAGGGGGGCACTATGGAGCTGCGGATGTGGGGTATACTTGGGTACAGAGCTTTCAGCTCAGGGACTCTGCTTTTTTGCGACCGCAAAGTGAAATTGCGTAGATGTCTGTCAATAAAAACGGCCAATAGCAAATAATATGCCGCAAAACTGCTGACGACTAAGGGAAGGGGCGGAGGGGGGGGGGTTTAGATTGTGGGTAGACAAGAGAGGGGCGAGTTGGGGTAGCTGTGTGGCAGACGAATTGGCATTTATGACGTTATAACTCACAGCGGAAATTAATTAAGCGCCAACACAATCGAACCTAGGGCCAGGGAGGGGGGGATGGTTGGGACACACATTTACAGGGGAAAGCGTCGAATGGGCAATTACAAAAGTTTTTTAATTCAAACAAAATGGGGCGTGGCACTGTGATTGCATTAAAAACAATCGGCTTTTAGTCTTGACTCTTCTCAAGTCTGCTCAAATGGCAAAAAAGTTGCAATTGTGCAACATTTGAAGTTTTTAATGCGGCAACAGACGACGCTTGCAATTGCCTCAAGTTAACCAAGTTGGCAAAAAGTTTCTGCCACGCCCACCAAACCATTTGGGCGCTTAATTAAATTGAGAGACTAAAAAGTAGTTGTTATTGTTGTTCAACTTGCCACACCAGCAGCAGAATCTTATGTCAATTTTATGTTTGACTTCAACTTTTGCTGACTGGTGGCAATAAAAATATATTTATGGAAAAGTGCAGCTAACTAGTTGTAAAAGAATTAATAAGGAATTCATTCAAGCGGCGAAATGTTGCAGAAAATAAAACAAATTCTTGTATTCATATTTTTCAAGAGTGCAATACGGGTTTAAATACAAATAAACGTTTTTTTTTCAGTGTAAAACGAAAGACACAAAACAAAATTGGGGACACGCAGCTCATAAGCTATTGAAATTTAGGCTTTGAGAACGAATTCCCAAATATTTTTCCACTATTAACGGAACTAATAATAAACATTTGTATGAAGAAAACGTAGCTTAGAAGTTATAAAAAATAAAATGCAGGGAGAAAATGTTAGAAGAAATATTTCAAATGTTTCTATTTATATTTTTGAAGAGTGCAATGTGGTTTTGAAAATGCATTTCTAAATGAATTGTCCCCCCAACTAAACGAACCACTTAAAAGTATTTACATATGGAGAACGTAGCTCACAAGTTGAAGAAAATAAAGGCAAGAAGCAGTATTTAGTTAGCGAAATTTTAGAGCAAATAAAAATTATTTTTGAATAATCAGATTTCGTATGCACCTATCAGTGTTTATAGCCAGACGATATACAGTGAATACTCTGTTGAGTAGATACCGTCTTTCGTTTAATTTTTGTCCGCTTAAGAGCAGTGTCTGTCTAATGAAGGAGCATGGCTTTGACCAGATTCGCAGAGGTTTGTGGACGAATCACCTACCCAAGAGGCTTGTCCACCTAATAGGAATGTCCGTTAAAAAGGTTTTCATTGTATTTAATTCAATGAAAACCTAGCTCACTTTGGCCTTAGTTTTTAACAAGGTTTCCTCGGAGCGTTACGCACTCTTGACGAGTCTCTCAGTCAACTGTTTCCCAAGCTCATGTGTAGCTGCAACACAGTCGACCCACTTTGAGGCAACCCACATAAATTCCCAGCTACATATCAAGCAGATGCCTCACTCTGTTGCCCTCCCCCTCACGCGCCTCTAGCAATGCCATAATAAGCGCAAATGGCATCCAGACATAACTTCATTGCAATTATTTTCTTTTTCTTGACTTTGTCCGAGTCGCAGTCAAACGGCAAAACGTATTTTTTACTGCCATTCTTTGCTTCACATGCACACAGTTAACTATAAACAGCTGCCCGCCCACTATGAAGGCGTGGCATCGTGTCATGTTTTCTATGATCGAATTCCTATTTTGAGATATTCTCTTCATCGATTGCATTCGCACGCGCCACGAATTAATCGAATGGAAACTAAGCTCAGGCAAATGCTTTTGAAATGTAGGAAAATCTTTTAAGAATCTAAACAATTGCTTTAGTCCATCTCTGAGATATATAAAAGATATTATAACTGATTGCATTATGCATTCCCCTGAGTTATTCTGTGAAGAGACACCCTGTAATTTTTGGAAGAATCTCTATCTCTGAGCTACTCTGTTAACAGATACCTTGTAATATATAAAATAATATTAAGTACGGTTTCAGTCCATCTCTAAGCTTCTCCGTGAACAGATACCCCGTAATTTATATCTCTGACCGACTCAGAGTGCGGATACCCTGTATATTATAAGACAAACCTTCAGTTTATCTCTGAGCTACTCTACAAACTAGAACTTTGGGCTTTCTCATATGTGTTGTGTCTAAGTTTAATTGCACCTGTCAACCTTCAACGATTTCTAGCAACCTTTAAGCATGTCTGGCGGTTTATACCCATGTCTGGCAACCTTAAACCATATCTGGCAATCGCCTGAGCAACTTTCAACCAATTTTGAGCCCACAAAAAAAAAAGAAGTAATTCCACATCAAGAATCCATCAAATGGCATCCACCAAGCAATTTACACGTACGCCTTGACCTTGAGACTAGGCCCACCCGCTGCTCCCACAAAACTACACACCTTATAGCCATGTCGGGACAGATTTATGTTGTCTGGAGAAATGTCTAATAGTGTGTCTGGCTGGCTGCTTGGCTGGCCTCGATAAATTTGATAGCTGTGTGCTGGTGAAAGGTGGGCGGGGTGGCCGGAGGGAAACGGGAAGGCCATAAAATACTTTACGATGTAGCAAGACGTTAAATAAAAGAAAATTGGTGGTACCCCCCTCCCACGTCCCCCTGCCATCTGCCTGATGAATTGCAATTTAAAGTTTATATCATTTGAGCCTGAAAATTGTTGACGACTTATTTGAGATATGAGCGCATCCAAGAAAAACTACAATAAAATCAACTTGTGCTCATATGAGGAGAATTTTTCGACCGCCCGAAAGTAGGCAAAACTCTGCAAAGCCCAGCCCCGCCCCACACCCCTCTCTCCACTCTACATGCCCAAGCATGCAGTACATTTGTCTGACTGCTTTGAAAGTTTATCAGACTTTTGCGTGACTTTTGTTGACAACTTGAGGCACACACAGCGACAGTAGGAGAAAGGCGCAAGAGAGAGAGAGAGAGAGGGGAGAGAGAATAGGGTGTGGCAGACAGTGGAGACATCGTCTCGGGGAATGCTCGACGCGAGGAAACTTGGCGTAAAAGTTGCGCTGACAAAAATGCGACTCGACTGCGGCGCCGATAAGCGAAGCGAATGAATTCTGAAGTGCGACAACAGTTGCAGCAGTCGATAAGGCGTTGAGCGGGATGGTTAAGTGTAGGGGGTGGGGTAAGGGCAGGTGAGGCAAGGCGGAGCGAGAGATGCACGTGAGCCGTGCTGCAGCAATTTAAAGTACATATATTCTGAGGCGCAGCAGCCGCAACATTGTTACAGCCCTTTTCAACGTCGGCAATCGCATTCTTGAGGCATGCCCGAAAGTAGGCAATGGAAATGCGCAAAATGTTGCAACAGCAGCTGCCGCCAAATGTTGCAGCCTTTTTACGAGAGCAGTAGCAGCAACACAGCCGCCGTAGCAGATGAATGTGCCCCATGGCAGTTGGCCAAGTTTGCGACAGTGTTGTAAAAGTGTTGTAAATGTGTTGTAAAATATGCGCTGTGAAATTATTTATAGTTGAGCAAGGAGACCATAAGAAAGCTGCTTGGCTTAAAGGGAATTAAGCGATTTATGCCGAAGAAAATATATTTTGCTCGTTATAATTCTCAAATCCATTGAAAAGTTAAAGGAAAACTTTAATTTCAATCAAAAAAATTTGTGGAACATTCGTGGAATTCCTATCTTCAAGAACATTGAAGTCTATTTCAAATTTTCATTCTATTCAATTCAATTCAATACATCAAATTTATTTATTATAAAAGATGTGAAGAGTTTTTTTAGAATATCGAAATGCTTCCATAAACTATCAGAGCATGAATCACAAAGGGGAAGAAGTCTACAAAAATATAAGCAATATTAATTGTAAGATCTTATTTAATTTAAGTAAAACGAGGACTAGGAGTTTCTCATTAACTCTCACGAATATCTCTTGTCTCTTCATCTTATGGCATTCACTTGACATAAGAGAACGTTAAAAGGAAAAACTTCGAAATTGGAGTACAAATGATTTAGAGGGGTAGAATCTTTCGGTAGATCTTAAGCTATATTTACAAGGTTTGAATTCTCAGCTGAATTTTCGTACGACTTGGGCGTAGGTCTTGTAAATACAAGTCTGATTTAATCAGATGAGTAGTTCAGATAAAATGGAACCAGTTTTATTCCTCGGAGCGCTCACGTGAGCTGCAATATGTAGTTTTTTGCAGGACTGCCCATAACATATTAAAAGATATCCTTAAGCCAACATACTTGCTAACCCGTAAAAGAAGAACGTTTTCTATATTCATCCATCTTTCGCTAAACTGAACATTGGATTAGCTTTGAATGACAGTTGAAATGCACTCAACTGTATTCGCATCTCATAGTTAAACTTGGCATTTGTTATATACTCACATTGGTTGACAGCTGGCTGCTCAGGCTGAGCACCTGTTCCCGTGCATCCTGCAGTTCGCGCTTCAAGCGGCGTATCTCATGCGCCTGTCGCTCCTCTGCCGAGCCGTACAACGAGCTGCCGCCCGACAGCAGCGAGGCGGCGCTGCCATGAACTGCAAAGGGGTAGAGAGGTGCAGAATTTAGTATTTATCCTATCTATAGCTATAGATATATGTACAGTGAAAGTTACAGCTGAAAAAACTTATGTTATAAATCAAACAAAATAAATTCTAGACTAAACCATATGTATATCTATCTATTTTCTATCCATTTCTGTACAACCAAAAACTGAGTTCGTTCTGGCGAGCCTTCACTGTACATGAACGCCAATTTAAACTCACCTTCATCATTCTTTTTGGGATATGTCAGACGATGCGATGCGTTATTGCCGCCGCCGTGTCCGGCTCCCGCTGCAGCTGCTGCCACCGCTGCCAGCGCCGCTGCCGCCGTGCCGTGTGTGGGCGACAGCGCAGACGCAGCTGACGCAAAGGGGCCGCGACTGAGGGGCGTGGGCGAGGTGGGCTGGCTCCAGGCCACGGCAGCCGCATTGCCGGCCACATTGCCCGCCTGTGCCTGGGCTTGAGCCTGCGCCTGTGCCTGGGCCTGAGCCTGGGCCTGGGCCACAGCGGCGGCCATTTGGGCGCTGAGCACCCCATTGGTGCCCACGGGCAGGCAGTAGTAGGGCTCGATTTCCACATCTCCGCCGCGGCTCAGCATCGAGGGATACATTTTCTCCGATTTGGTGGATCTGTGAGTAATTGCATGGCCAAAACGAAAAATGTGATTAGATTTTGCTGTTGGCTTTGGTATGTGCCTGTGGGCGGGTGTGTTTGTGGTTGTGGATGTGGTTTGGTGTGTGTGTGTGTTAATATGACCAAATTGTGTGTGCCTATGTGGCGTGTGCGAATGCATTTATGATTTGACAAGCGAGCTGTGTTGTGCGGAGAAAGTAACTGTGATTTCACAGTGCATTTTGCGGTGATCGAAGGTAACGAAAAATAAGCAATTAGAAAGAACGAGTGCTGTGTAACGACTATTTTAATGAAATAATTCAATAAAAATTAAAAATGAAAAAATATATATATATATTAAAGTTAAATATGTGTATAGCTTCAAAATATAGACAAATCTGTGCTTAGAAAAATCTTTCTCTAAATTGTTGTTTATCCTGCCCGTTTTATGCACTAAATTATTGATTAACTGACCGTTTGGCTGTTTGTTTATTGACTGATTGATTAACTGATGACGGACTGATGATGATTGATGATCAATGAAAAGCAAAGCGGAACACCTTAATTATGAGTGCATGCTTTTAGAGAACTAATTGATACTATTAGCTCTCGTGCCTTAATATAGAAATATTTTATCGTAGCTCTGTTATATACAACAACTCTGCTGGTTGAGTTTCTTCTTAAGTTTTATTTCAGTCAACTTTCAGAAAAGCAATTAAAATGAAAACAAACCTTGCAAGGCTTTAACGGCTTCTGTATAGCATCAATTACTATTTCGCCCACGTTTATAAAAGGACAAGCTTTGAGCCCACAATGACAAATGAATGAGCATTTAATAAATTTTAAATGAATTGCTCGCATGTTTAAAAGCAACATATTTATTTAAGCAAAAGCCACCGTATTAAAGCGTTTTACTTAGTATAAACAATTAATTAATTTATTGTGGATGCCTTTATGCAGATTATTGCACTGCTGCAGCCGACCGCAAGCTGCCCCAATTGGCAGAACATTTTGACCAACACAGTTGGCCACCAGGCTGTTGGTGTTTCAGTGGTATATACCAGTGTGTGTGGGGTGTGTGTGTGTTATGGTGTGATATGATGTGCTGTGTGTTTGCCAGACGCTTGCAAATTTCCGTTGTGGTTGTGCAGTTTATTAGGCCAATCTGCACGCGAACGTTGCATACTTCAGGCTCTGCGCAAATTTCCGTTTAATTTTCGTCAGCGACAATTTGGCATGTGTGTGTAAGTGTGCGTGTGTGTGTGTGTGTAACTGATAACGACATGAGTGAGACATGTCCATACAGCTCTCATGCCAAATCCCTCGACAAATTGTCATATAAAACGATACACTCAGAGAAAAAGCTTGTAGAAATGTGTGTCTAAGGCTAAGCACCTAATATATATTTTAAGAACTAATTTAAGCCCGTATTGGCCAATTACAGGACTTATTTTAGTGTGCAATTCAATAAATGGTTAAAACTTAAATAAGAACTAAATTTTGTTTGTTTATTTCGAGTATATAAATTCTTGTTAAAAGTATTTTTAACTTAATTCAAGACTGTTCTTTAAATTAAGTCAAGCATAATTAATATTTGATCTTAAAATATTCACGAACAAAATGTACTCTGAATTTAAGCTCAGCTCAGCTACCCAAGAATTTATATATTCGTTTTTTTTCTGAGTGTGCTTATAAAGCTCGGAAAATGACCACAGAAAAGACACAGGGCTACAAATAAGGGGTAGACGAGAGGGTTAAGGGAACCCGGCTGGACAAATCTGTGCTGTCCAAGTTGCCATCTCGTTCTGCTCTTGCTCCTGCTCCTGCTCCAACTGCTGATAACTGACATTAATGGCATTTCGCATGCAAATCTAATATTACGTATACGTCATGTGTGCGCTCGTATGTTCACTTTGCTGCCCCGCCCCTCTCTGGTGTTTCGTCTGCACAACTTTGCCCTTTTTGCATTTGTGGTAAGTGTGTGTCTGTGTATCTTTGTGTGTTTGTTAGCGTTTTTGGTACGCTTCAGGGCGTTTACTTTACTCTCGTGGGCTTTTGCCAACGCCCCGCCCCGCCCTATTCTGCTCTGCTCTGCTCTGCTCTGCTCTGCTCTGCTCTGGTCTGCTCTGGTGTCAAATTTGATAACAAGCCACCAAACTGGTTTCTGCTGGTGTATGCCCCACTGCCCCCTGTTGTAGTTGTTTCCACTTGCCATTTCCTACTGCATAATTGATGCATTGAAAGCAAGAGTTTGGTCCGTAACAGCTGGCATATTAGTTGGCGGGCCAACAAAGCCATCTATGGAAAGAGGGAGAGGACAAGGCGAGTGGGCGTGGTGTTACGACATGGACTGGCAAAAGAACCTTGTATAAAGGGGCGCATAGAGTTAAAGCATGTGTCTCATTGTGCCTTATAAAGTTTATTCCAAACAAGCTTTTATTTGGTAAAGGGGTTGTTTCTTAAGCAAGAACTCTTTTCAAATTGAATAATAGTTTTATATATATGAGAACAAACTTTTATGAGAACGCACTTTTAATTTAAAATTTATATTTATTGATATTTTTTGTGTAAGTCCGTCTTGCTCACGGCAGTCCATATAGACGCAGTAATTTTCGCAGCCTTTGCCGTTTTTCGACTTTGAACTTGAGTTTTTAACTTGATTTAGTGTAATAATTGACTTGCTTTACCTGTGTTCAAACATTTCATTTAGAAATTGATCATTAACTGGGCGACTTAAACTCAACCACCTCCAAGAAAATCCTCTTCTTTAGCATCGTGCATTCAATTTGAACTCTGTCTAAATATAAACACATTGTGCCTAAGCAAAGTCTTGAGGCTGCTTTGATTCTAATTTCTAATTTCGCAGCTTGTCACATTCACAACTGAAGTCAAACTAACACAATTAAAATGCACAAGTGCAAATCGAACGCAAAAAAGTAAAAAAAAAAAACGGCGCGCAGAAACTACAACAAGTATTGTTTAGAGCACTGAGCAGCAACCAAAATGTGCTGGAGAGAGCTATGCATAAGTAGATAATGCATAAGCATGAATATACACATATGTACATATCTTGCGACTCAATCTGCGTACACTTGTTTGGGTGTGTGTTCGCTTTAAAGTTATCTACTTATGCACATGTGATAGCTTAACTGAACTGAGATTTATGAGCGCAAGGCAGATCAAAAAAACGGCGCTCAGAAAATTGAGCAAGGCTTGCTTAGATCAAAAGGCAGTCACAGAAAGTCGTGAGAGCGCGATGTGTAAGTAGATAATGCTTAAGCATGCATATATGTATATACAAATCTACATACATACATATCTTGAGATTACATGAGTTCGGGTGTGTGTTCGCTTTTGTTATCTTCAAACTTAAGATGCTTCTGTGCGAATTCCCCTTAGGAGCGTATGCTTACTGAATTTCTGTGCGTCGACCCATCAACAAGTTTATTCTGTTTGGAGCGATAAACAGCAAGAATAATTGGGGAGAGCGTGATGCATACGTAGATAATGCACATGCACTCATATACACATGCTTATGTACATATTTGGCGATTCTCTTTGCATAAATTTGTTTGCGTGTGTGTACGCTTATTGTTATCTGCATACTTAGCATGCATATCGCGCTCACGAAATTTGGTTGTTGCTTTTTGCTCAGTGGTCCGCTCTATTTTCTGAGTGCCGTTTATTGTCGCCCTCACAGCGTAACTCTGTGTTTGTTTGACCCAAGTAGTCAATTTCACAAATAATATGGGCTGAATTTTCTGCAGGCAGCGATAATTTTTTAATTGTAGCAGAGCAGACCCATGCAATTTTAATTGAAATCATTTTTGAATGGAAAAACGACAGTTTTCTTGAAATAATAGTTTTCACATGGAATAAATCGCACAAGAGAAATTCCAATCATAACATTTGTAAAAGATTTAAGGGACTAAACTCGCCGCATAACATTATGTTATATTAACTAAATCAAAGTAACTCAGAATAAAGTTGCGCAGGTCCGAGAGCGGACTCAAAAGCCGGCGCACAGAATATAAGAGAGGTACACGATCATTAGACGAATTTGTACACAAGAAATTTTTATTTGAACCAAAAAGCGAAAAGCAATAAAACAAAATGAGCACACACACAAACTAGTGCATTTAGAAGAGATCGCAAAATATGTGCAGATATAGATATGTATGTATGCTTTTGGATTATCTACGTTTGCATTGTGCTCTCATCACTTTTGCTCATTGCTCCTAACAAGACTTGGTTGAGGTTCTGTGCGCCCAGTTTTTGACTCTGCTTTGCGCGCTCTCAATTTCATTCTCTTTTAATTTAACCCCAGTAGGAAATTGCACATTAAGGCAGGCCTAACCATCTGTGCATGTTGTCAACTGCTTCTGAGATGTATGAGTGCAAAGCAGATCAAAAAAAAAACGGCGCTCAGAAAATTGAGCAAGGCTTGCTTAGATCAAAAGGCAGTCACAGAAAGTCGCGAGAGCGCGATGTGTAAGTAGATAATGCTTAAGCATGCATATATGTATATACAAATCTACATACATACATATCTTGAATTACATGAGTTCGGGTGTGTGTTCGCTTGTGTTATCTACAAACTTATTATGCTTCTGTACGAATTCCCCTTAGGATCGTATGCCTACTAAAAATTCTGTGCGCCCGCCTGCCGAAGTTTATTCTGTGTTAATTGAACCCCAGTAGTCAATGGGGCTCACGCAGTAGCCCAAAATATTATGGAATATAAATATTGGAGTATATTGACTGGAAGAAGGTACATTCTAACAAGAAAGGGGCCTTATATACCCGAATTATAGTTATTTGTAGATGTATCAAATATATTAAATGACAAATATTCAAAAACAATTTGACTTGTATGAACAGGACTGTTATGGGCGTTCAAATTGTTGATTCTTTTAATTAAACAACATTGCTCAGCTATGCATATAACATTCCAGACAACCAGCAATTAACAACTTGCCTCTGTGCAGAATATTCACCATGCATTGATGTGTGATTGACTACTGGGTTCAGTCTTTGTTAAGGCAATATACACATCTGCACATACTTGGCGATCTTCCCTGCAGACACTTGTTTAGTTGTGTGTTCGCTAGAAAGTTATCTATGTAATTATGCACGTGTGTATAAGCTGCGCGAGCGCAAAACGGAGCAAAGCACGGAGCTCAGAAAATAGAGTAAGTTCTATTTAGATAGATAAGCAGCAAGAATAACTCGTGAGAGCAAAGTAGATAATTCACAAGTACGCATATACACACGGGTACATATCATGCGATGCCCCCTGCATACACTTGTTTGGGTGTTTGTTCACCTGTGTGTTACCTACATACTAACCATGCATTGCGCTCTCACAATTTTTTCTGTTTCTTATCGCCTTTTGGTCCAACAAAAAAATGCTTGAGTATAAATTCCCCTTAGGATAGTTTGCTTACTCTCTTGCGCTCTAAGAACTTCCCTCTGTGTTATTTTGACCCCTCGAAAATCTCAATACCCTTTAAGACTTCGATTATTTAAAAGGCCGCTTTTTAATAAATCCAGATGATGATTAGCTATAACCAACCATATTGCAAGAAACTGTTTTATAAAATTTCTTATGTGATACTTTCAGTTTAAAGCTATTTAAAGGTTTTAAAAAATTCGCCAAAAATCTTTTTACCTGTCACACATCCGAGTAGTTCTCTCTGCCTTTTACTGCATGCATTTTTTTTACCATTTGCTGTTAAAAATTTTTAATGAAGCACTTGAGAGTCAACACTCGGCTGCAGGGGCATAGCCCACTTCCAACTGGCAACCGGCAACCGGCAACTGCTAACTGTGAATTGCTGACGTGGCCAGAATAAAGTTAAAATAACAACAACGCCAAAATGGCAGCCCCGAGGCGCAACTTCATTTCAGCTGCAAGTCAAAGGTTCACAAACCTATTGACATGTCAAATAATAATCTGGCCAGCACCTCGCTATTCCCTTTACCCAGCCACAGGCGGCAACTGCTCGGCGCTGCTATTTACACTTATACGTCGAGATCCTGCCCCCAATCCCGCTCAACAACTCCTCAACTGTCCATATTCCCACTTTTTCGTTTTCCATTTCGTGTTCATTTTTCCTTTTTCACTTTTTTTTTTGCCCACTTTGCTGTTTTACACAACTTTCACATTGTCTGTTTGCAGTTGCTCGTCCCCTATCAACTCCACCTTTATAAAAAGTTTCTCTTTAACTATTTGGGCGTGCCGTCAACTCATGGGTTTTCGCTTTTCGAGGGGTTTTACAGTAGCTTTAAAATATGCACGAGACATGGCAACAGCAAGCATATGTCAAGCGCCGACCCTATAAGGACTAAACTATTGCAAATTGCTTGCATACTTTCAGACGCGCAGCTGTAAAAGCAGCTCATTACACACACTCGCACGCATGTGCGTGCATAAGTGTGTGCATAAGCTGACAGGCAAAAGGAATTTTTAAAAATTCTGGCTTTATTTATCTGCACTACAAAGTCAGATAAGCTGCATAAGTCGATCTAAGAAAATATATAAGTAGGTAGGGTCTATCAAGAAAATTTGGAAAATATTATTTTTAGCAAGATTTACACGATAGAGATAAATAACTTTAGAATTTCTAATAGCATATCTGTTTGTTTAACCATTTTTTAATATTTTTCTATTTATGTTAGATAAGTATTAGGATGCTTTTAGGATTTGTATAAAATAAAATATTTTGTAATCTGGTACACATACTTTTTTACTAGGATGTCTTTGATAGAGATTAAGACAAAATGTTTGATAGCTTATCTGGTTGCTTTACAAATTTTAAATATTTGTGCTTTCCTCTTAGACAGGGCGTTACATGAAAAAAAAACTAGTTTACATTCAGGCATTTTTGGAAATTCCTACATATAAGTTTTTTTTTAGATCGAATGCAATGGAATCAAAATCATGAACAGATCTAAAAAAAACTCAAATTCACACATTTTTCGGGATCGCATCTAAATCAAAAAGCTATTGTTATATTCTGATTACACAGCGAATGGAAAATAAATGGTTTATGGGAATGTTCGTTCTGTTTATGAAAAACATTTTTAATTATTTGGACATTTTTTTAAAATAAACGTAACAAGTTTTTGTTGAGTGTACATCAAGTAAAGGCAACATACCCTGTCTGACTTAAGGGCGTATGAGCACATAATGAAAACAGCGTCTAAAGTCAGACGTATGCCATAAGATACATTCACACGCACACACACACACACACGCACACACTCATGTTGAATCTGCATTTTTGGCGACGCTGCAAAGTGTGCAACATGTAAATGTAAATTGCAAGCGGCAAACGCTTTTAAAGTGCGAGACAAGCGCGACAAGTGGCAACTGAAGCTGATTGCTTGCGAGTGCGACGTTAGTAATGGGCGAGGCACACACACACACATCCGAACATACGCTCATGTGTATATATCAAAAAGTGAGCAATTTGTAAGGTAAAGTCACCTTGGATATGTCCGTTCTTTCAGATAGCTTTTAGAGGTAAAATGAAAAAAATTTACAAGAAATTGCAGGTTGGAAGAAGAAGATAGAGAGTAAAAGAGATAAATTAAGGGAAAGGGAGATAGAGAGGGCATGCTTCTAACACATTCACATTATTCAGACTGCACTCACCTGATGCTGTTGCTGCGATTCATGCGCGGACTCTGCACATAGGGCGATTCATTGCCCTGAACGGGCATTTGTCCCACTGTGCCCGATGCACGATTGTGCAGCATTTTGTGGCCATGACGCGTCATCGCGGGCGAACCAATCTGCAGCTGATCTATGGCATCGCCGTCGGAGAGCCGACTGCCCGCCGTATTACTATGCTTCAGCCACATGGCATACGAGCTGTACTCGGGCTTGACCTCTGCATAGGTTTGCGTATCAGAGAGCGACCCATCGTGGCGAGTCCCGCCTCCACGCGTAGAGATTCTGTTGAAGAAAAGAATATCATAAATGTATTATTAATATTTTCTGATTGACTTCTGATTGAGTGTCTGGTTAACTAATGATTGTTTGATTAACTGACAGACTCAGTGTCTGGCTGTTTGACTGAACGACCGGTCGATTGGCTGTCTATCTACTGACTGACTGATTGACTGACTGATCGACTAACCGACTAAATGACACAAACCTGACCTGACTATTTAACTGACCAACCGACTGATTGACTGACTGATCGATTGGCTCGTTGATAGACTAAATAGTAGGCTGATCAACTGATTAAATGATTAAGTAACTGACTGTTTGATTGACTGCTTGACTAATTAACGAACTAAATATTAAGCTGATAAATAGACTGAATGATTTATTAACTGATGGTCGATAGACCGAAACAAGCTGGGTAATGCTAGCTGCTTATATATACTTATAGATACTTTAACCCTTAAGCTAGCTATCTTACCTGTGCTGGAATACGTGCATATCGCTGCCAGGTTTGGGTAAGCTGTGCGAACCCGTTGCCAAACGCTCGCGTATGGACTGGCTCAGCTGTGTCGCTGTGGGGCCCGTCAACGAGAAGCTGCGATGTTGCGTATTCGGTGGCAGCTCTAGAGGGAGCGAAAATAAGAATAATTTATAAAATATATTATGATAACTTATCACAACTTACTGTTCATATCATTGGGTAGGGTTTGTGTGCCGCCGGTGACCTTGCGGCCACTGGCGGTGCGCGGCACTGCGGACACGTGAGCGGTGCGTCCGCAGGGCAAGCCATTGACCATGGCCTGGCCACCGCCGACAGCCATCAGCATGGCGATGTTCTGTTGCTCCGCCGTGGAGGCGATGCTGCCATTGGCGCGTTTCACATAACCAAAACTGGGCGGGACGCCCTTGGTGCGCGACGAGGACGAGGGCGAGCCCTGTTTGGATGAGCTGCCGCTGCCGCCGCCCATGCTGCGACGCGATGGCGATGACTTCTCCGATTTGTCCCCCTTGTGGCCGTTGAGCGGTTCTGGCATTTTGGTCCAGTTATCGCGTCCATTTCGCGAACCCGGACGATGATGTGGACTGCCATCCATTTTGCTGTTATTGTTGTTGTTATTGTTATTGTTGTTGTTGATATTGTTGCTGTTGTTGCTGGTAGAGCCGCCGCTGGAGCTGGCCTGGCTTGCCGCCGAGCTGCCGTTGGCAGCAGTCCCAATGCTATCAAGCGAGCCGCGACTGCTGCGAATGCTGCCAGGACGAGAGAGAGAGAGCGAGAATTAAAGGTGAGTGGGGCTTAGCAAAATATTTATGTACACTTTAACAAAATACATTTAATACTTGATGGGAATGGTACTCTTTAAATATAATTCTCTTTAATTTATAGCAGAGCTAATAGCTTAAGCCTGAACCGAACATTACCTAGAAATCCGAATGATATAAGCGCATTAACTAAGGCTAGTTTGGTTTTGCTTTTGATTATTTGAGAAAATTATGCAAAATTTGAGTGTTTTCGACAAAGAGCTCACGAAAGTTTCTAAACTCTGAATATTATAAATTAGGGAGAAGATAAAAACAAACGCAAGGACGTAGACATTGTTTATCGGCTACTAGAAACTTAGCTGTACACAGAAAATGTAATAATTGGAATTGATCGTAGTTTCCAGATTCTATTATAAGACATGATTGCCTCCATTTATTCAAATATGCTTCAAGAGGTTCGAATTCAGCCTCAAATCAACTAGTTTCCAGCCATATCTCAATTCAGGCAATTAGCTAACTAGTTGGCATTAATGTTTTATGCACCCACTCAGGCACCTCTATTTCACTTCCAGGCTGTCTTTTAGCTGATTCCGAGCACTTGTTTTCACTTTAGTTACGCTCTTAATGCCTTCATGAATTAGGGTCAGCTATTTACAAAGGACCCTCGACTACACGCCTAATTGTCTAGCTCTAAAAGAGCTGACCCCAGCCCAACTGCCTGAATGGCCGAAAGGCCCAGCGCCGGCTGTCAATTAAAAGCGGCACTTACACAAATATGTTGGCCACATCTGACTGAACAGTGCCTGCTGTAAGTACTGCCCCACCCGAACGCCTGCTGATATAAACTGAACACGTGCTGCGAGGCGCCGCATAAATTAGCGGCTAAATTAAAAATTATACAACACCAATTTTAAATAGCTCGACACGAAATAGCCAAAAGCAGCCAAACAAAAATGGCCAAAACACTAAAGTGTACCGCGCACCGTATGTTTATGGCTTTTGCTGCTTTTGTTGTTGTTGTCGTTGTTGTTGTTGTTGCGGTACTCCCCATGCAAATTACATTTTGTGCATGAAATTAGTTTGCCATTGGTCCTACGTCCTGGCCCAAAAGGCCGCCTGCAATATGTAAAGGCCACAAACGGAAAAACCACTTCGAGCCGGACATGCATGGAATTTGTTTTTCCACAAAATATATTTCAAATGCGTTCGTTGGGAACAGAACAAAAGAAAAGCTGAGGGGACAACGCACCAGCGGGGCAAGGGCAGGCGCAGCACACTCTAAAATACTTTACGCGTATAATTCAGGCATTGGCGCAGAACTCATGGGCGGACGGACGGCAAAAAATATTGAAGGGATAGAGCTGAGGCTTAAAACTTAATATTTGGGAATATCATGTATATTAAGTTAGTTAATTGTTGCGAAGCCCTGTTTTAAATTCAAGTAGTTATAAAAATACAAAATAGGTATTATAATATATAAGCCAAATATTTATAACTTTGTATAATATATTCCTCCTTTGACTCTCACTGTCAGGCTATATGCATGCCTTTTAAAGTTAGGTTGAAATTATTAAAATATAGAATTTTTAGTTCAAGCTGAATGCGCAATAAAATACGAACTTCAGCTTCTGACGGCTCACCATAAAGAAGTGCTTATTCATAATTTAGTTGTTTCCGTTTGGCTGACGCACTTCTTGAATCAAAATTCCTTTTAAATGTCTTTCAATGTAGCTCGTTGGCATCCTTCTTTTTGGCTTTTTGAATGGCTATTAATAGCATTGCCCACCCCCTTTGCCTTTGACTACGCTCCTGCTCATGACGTCTGCTGCTGACTTTTTTCGACAGCTTTTCGAAATTTATGCGCCATTTTTTTATTGCGCCCGCTTCATTTCCCACTGGGAATGGCAATGGGCATGGTCAGCAGTTGAGTTATTCAGTGCATTTCAAATGAATTGCAGCTTAAGAGTTCAGGCAAGGGCATAAAGCATATACAATTGAAGTGTGTGCAAATATATGATACACTCTGAGAAAAGAAAGTATAATGCTTAAATCAAAGTTCGACAAAAGCTGCTTATTTCTTAAGCTGAGCTCTTGAAAAAACTTATTTCAAAAACTTTTTTTAAGTCTGCAATTATTATTATTACACTAATAAGTATTTTGAGCTTAATGCAATTATATTTTCTTTCTTTTTTCTTCTTTTAACTCAATGTTTGAGTTTAATAATACATTTATTTTTTAAATATATATAATTACTCTTAAGTGTTGTCTTAAAATTTGCTATCTTTCTATTTGAATCAGACTTGTATTTACTACCTCATTTTCTTTTTTTTCTTTTTAAATTGAGCACATTTTCTGTTGAAATTTCTTTGAGTGTATTGTTGTTCTTTATTTGTTGCATATGGAAATATATATTTTTTAGCTGGCAGTTGTTTGTCATCGTTTGGTAGCCTCTTCGGCTAATGAAGGGCGGGGGCATGTGGGTCATTTTCCAGCGACGTGGCAATCGTTATTGATTTTACCGACTTACAGCCCACACCTGCCCCGGCCCCTGCCCCTGCCCACCCGCTGTCGTTGCTTCTGTCCTCCCTATATGCATATTGAGTGTGCGACAATTTATGAGCTTTATGTGTCACTTCTGACGCTCACTTTCACTCTGCCACACACACACATACACACACACATACACACACACGTAAAGGCAGACAGTCACGCATATTCTAAGGGCTGCTCCTCACCCCCCGCGACCTTAGCGCACCCTTCGACTGGACGTCTCAGTTACAGCTCGGCTAGTTTTTCTTTTCTCTGCTGCTTCTTGTTTGCTGTTATTGCTGTGGTCTCTTATACCCTTATATAGACCGGGCATATCTAAACGGTAATTGCTTGCCAGGGCGTAGTTGAGTTTTATGACCCAGACAGCTGTTTTTTTGTGCACCCTCCGACCCTATTCCTGGGTGCGCTTAAATCATAGCATACTTTTCAGCGGAAATTGCATGGCTCTTAAAGCGTGCCACACCACAGGCCACAATTAGTTAATTTATTGTGCAACTGTGCAATTGAATCACAAGCGCATAGATCTAATCTCTAAAACAAGGTCTGCCTTGAATTGCCATTATTAAATTTTATGACGGAGCAACAAAAAAGAGAGACGCGAATTTGGCTTTTCGCGTGCTTTAGCAAATTACATTTTATGCGGCAATTGAGAATATGAAAGCCATTTTTATCAGCCCAGCGAAATGAAGTGAAAATTTTGTTAGGAGTAGAAAGAAAATGAAAAAATACTTTTAAGGAAAGTTGAACAACTTTTTAATAGACCAACAAGCTCTATTCAGAGCAGGGAATTACTGCAACAAAATTGTAGTAAATAGTATAAAATGTTAAATAATAAGGATAATATTAATAAAAATAATATAACCATTAGTAAAATAATAATAAAACATCAAATGTGAGATAATATCATTTTTAATAAAAATATAAAAAAGTTGCTTTGTTTTGGACAATTTTTTTCGAAATATATTTTAAAGTAAAGTTTCTAAGCAAATGGTGAACAAATTGGACCAGAAAATAAATAATATATTGAACAAGGAAGCAGAATTATTTATAGAGTTTTAGGCTTAGGGAAAAGGGCTTCTAAAGATTCTTTCAAGCTTTCCTTCTCACCCACTCGTTTCCTATAAAAATCATGTGCCAACATGCCAGCGAGAAATTTATGCGTTGGCTAATTTGGCGCGCCTGTATTTTATATTTATGCTTCTTTTTTTTTTTGAATTTCTCATAATTTATTAAGCATTTCACCAAAAGCGTATTTACCGCACGTTTGTCCAAGGGATATTCAAATGAATTGTATTATTTATTATATTAGCAGGGACAGGGACGGGGGTGGGGACAGGACACGCCCAATTAGTTTTGATATATGGCCATATAAAAAACGTTGGCGTAAGCGGCTTAGACATGAAAATTTGATTGTTAACATTGGCCAATTGCAAACAATCCTTTTGGCTCAATGGCTTGCAGGCACTCGAGTCGTTGCCAGCTAGCCACCCCCCCTCACTGCTGGTCGCCCTTTTCGGCTTTGCCACTTTTGTGCGCGTCTTTTGTCATTTTAATTGAAAATGTTGCCAATTCACTTTGTCGCCGCCTTTGTGCGTGAAGAGCTGCAATTGTCGTCGTCGCACTTCGCCGGGCTATTTGCCCATCAACTACTAAGCTTCCAACGGTTGGCTCCATTGTGTGTCAATTCTCTTTGTCTGTCTGTCTGTCTGTCTCGCTGTCAGTCTGTCTTTTTCTCAATTGCACGCCTGTTTGCACGCTGATTTTCCAATTGTTTGACAGCTACATTCAAGTTGTGCCTCAAGTCTGACGCTTTGCTTTACACTTGGTTGGCCAGCTGTGTGGCACCTTATAGATATATATATATATATATATATATATCTATGGAAATTATATAACTACAGCAGCGACAACACTGAACGATTTTTATAAATGATTTCTGCAATTAACGCCAAATATAAATTAAGCACCAGCGCATGTGGCGTATGCGTAATATCTGCAACAGCAGTCGCTTGTTGCTTGTTGTTATTGTTGTTTTCTTTAAAGTGCTCCAATTTAAGCCCAAGTCAAAGTCATTGGTCAATGAAATGCATCGTCTTTGTTGCTGTTGTTTACACCAACATTTCGCTGGGTCATAAACAATTTGTCTTCAAAAGATCTAGAATTGTTCTTAACATGAAAACGAAATGAGTTTTGTTTCGAGTTTCGAGTGAATGAGAAACAATAAACAAATTTCCATATTCGAGCTATCAACGTTTAAACGCCCCCACAAACACTTATCAGAATTGCCTTATATTTCAACAATTAGCCGTAGAAGTCAGATATTAAGAAAACCTGAAACAGCTTTTATAAAAAATTATAAATGTTCAGATAGATAACATTCAAACCATTTAAATGCTAGTGTATTCATAGCTTGAACTAGTTCAAATTAACTATTTCTA